TGTAAAGAATTCGTTCCCTACCAGTGTTTGGACTCAACTAAGATCAGTAGTGCGATTCTGAATCTTATTTTAACCACATTTCACGTTGTTATCTCTAGTTAACAACTTTTTTTGGGGTTAAGTGATTGTGTATCAACTTTAACCATATTTGTCATTGTTTAGTGTTAACAAACGCAGTCAGCTGTTTGGTGACAATTATTTTTGTGGTTAAGCTAACAGCATCTAGTTTTTCTTTGTTAAGCTGTTGTTTACTAATTTTGCTGTGAAGTTAAATTGAGAAAATTGTGAAGATTGTGTTAAAAAATGGCATTTGCATACATTGCATCATATTTATATGATACCGATAATGAGCAGCCATTAAACGTGCCAAGAATTGACCGGCGTAGGCTTCGCGAAATCGATAACCCTTTCGAACTAATGTTAACGGAGTTCCGGAGGCTATATAGACTCAGTCCCGGCATGGTTGAAAATTTGGTGTCTCAACTTGACAATCAATTAAGAGGATCGCGAATAACAGCGTTATCGACTGAAAAGCAGGTAAGTCAATATACATGTATTTCAACTTTATTAAATATTATAGGTGCGTTCCAGCAGTAGTACGAGTTGCAGGGTCTGAAGGTTTCAAGGATTTACAGAAAAAGCTGCTTTTAACTTTAATAAACCTTATGTGACGTGGAACAGCTTTTTCTGTGAAACGTACAATTGCTATTACCGCTAGAAAGCATCTTGTATAAGCATGTGTTTATGTACTCGTTGAAGGTTCTAGCTGCTCTACGGTTTTATGCCACTGGATGCTATCAACGCCCAGTAGGTGAACAGTGGGGCATATCCATGAGCCAAACATCGATAAGCCGTTGCATACACCGTGTGACTGACGCAATCAACAATTCAATGTTTACCTCCAAAGTGAAGTTCCCTATGACGCAACTGGAGTGCCAAGCGGCAAAGGAAATTTTTGCGTCTGCACCTTCACCATTTGTAGCAGGAACTATCGGTGCAATCGACTGCACCCATGTTGCAATTTTGGCTCCCAAAAATAATGAATCAAATTATGTCAATCACCATGGGTACCATTCGATGAACGTGCAAATGGTAAGAACAAATGTACAACATGAAAATTTATATTGTTATTTTATAATGGTTCAAACTTATAGATATGTGATCCAAATCTTAAGATTTTAAACGTGAATGCAAAATTTCCGGGAGCACGACATGATTCGTTTATTTGGAGCTTCTCTGCAGCGCGTCGGGTCATGCAGCGATCATTTGAAACTGGAAATCACAACACGTTTTTGATAGGTAAGTTGTTTTAATTCCATACGAATAGAAATATTAAAAGAAAAAAATTTCAGGCGATTCTGGATACCCGCTGGAGCCATGGCTGATGACACCTTTACCAAACGAGCCAGAAGGAACACCAAAGTTTCGCTACAACGAGGCGCTATGTAAAGCACGTAACCCGATCGAGAGACTCTTTGGCGTCCTTAAAGGCACATGGCGGTGCTTATCACGGCAAAGAGTACTTTTGTATGACCCCGGCTTTGCTGGCCGAGTAGTTAACGCGTGCGCAACATTGCATAACGTTCGTTTGGGCGATCAAACAACCGCTTTTGACGATCGGGTTGTTTATGATCCCGAAATACTAAGCACTAATGACGATTCCGCAGCACCTTCTTCAGTAGCAAAACGTGTTCAGCAACGAATTATAGCAAATTTTTTTTAAATATTCGTATAACTTAATATATGCCGTCAACGATCGTCTCGATAGTAGGCCAGCCATCCACCAAGAGACGCAAGTAAGTACCATTATAGCAAATTATATCAACTTAGTTATTTTACTTGAGTTCGCTTTTATCACGAATGACTGCCTTTATTTTCTAGATTTGTTCAATCCACGTTAACTAACGCCTTTATTTGTCATCCGTTTTTTTATCATCTTCCTCTGCACAATAAAATGGGCAACGCTTTTTGCATTATATGTAATACATATTCAACAAATCAACAGTATTTATTTTTCACGTCCAATGAACATACTTGGCGAGCCGTTAAATGGCACCGCTAAAACTGCGAACTAACCAGCTAAATTTATTGATTTTTATACCTCAATGAAAAAGTTCCACACCTGCGCCGGCTTTAGTAGCAATGTATGCACGATTGCTCGTTCATACGAAATCGAACCGGTGGACATTAAAAGGATTCTTGCGTAAGCTATTCGGAAGAAGCAAGCTAGGGCTGTGCAATTAATTGATTATTCAAAACCTTAATTAATATCGTATTAATCATTATCATACTTTAAATATAATATGTTAATCGAACAAATGATTAACCAACTTGCTCGAGTAATCGAATAATCGCACAACCCTAAAGCAAACCCATATTTCATAATTGTTTACATTTTCATTAACTCTTATAGAGCAATTGTTGCCCTCTGTTTCCAAGCATCAATACAGCCTATATTGCTGAAAATGTTCCTAAATCTATTACAAAACAACCAACCCAACAGCGCCCTTACACTGTCCGGGCGTTTCGCTTTAAACCAATAAACAACAATTGAATTTGTGAGTGCCGGTGCTGTTGTGAAGGGTTATTCATGGATACCACAAAAAGAGATACAAAACTACATCAATGCTGTTGGCATAATACTCGCTTCTCTGCCTGAGAAATGTTGGAAGGCAAATGATCCCCATAGGTAAAATTGCGTGTTCTGTTTGGTATTATTTTCAAAGGAATGTGTATACATATTTCACCATTTCAGTGAGCCGCTGATACCTATGTGTCTTCAGTTGGTAATTGCATAGTTACTGCCGCGAGTGCGGTTCACAATGCTCTTTGCCGCATTCTTTTTGGCATGGTCGTTTGTTGAACCAGCCCACATAACAGACGCTCGTTTGGCAAGTTCTATTTCCGTTGCTTGATAATGTGCGTACGGGAAGCAGTGAGAAGGTGGATGGTGCTGCCTTGAGTAAAAATTGTGAAGACTCGCTGGCCGCACTAAAATCTCTGCAGAAATTATGCATGACAATGCAGACAAATTGGCGTCACTTGCTAACGAGGAAACAGCGGAAACAAAGATGAGGAATTTGCAGGGTGAGTTGTGTTTAGCGGGAAGTTTAGTACCTTTTTAGATCTCTTATTCATTTCTTGTACGTAGATTGCATGGAATATTTGGCTAAATACCGGCATTGAAAGCACAAAGATCACAACGAAAAACAACCATGCCAAAGAGGAGTTTATGTGCCTAGTCAGGCATTTTTAATAGCGCTAACACAAATTTTCTAGCACATACAACTGCGGGGGTGATACATCATTAAATTCGAATGTCTTCACTGGGCGCTTGGCGGTTACTGCTTTACTACATCGATTCCAATACGTTTTGAAGCGTTTCAATGACGACGAACGGCTGATGGGCGCCGTGCAAGGGCCACAGTAGTTCATTCCGGGGTATTGGTCGTAACTATCAGTGAAGTGCACAGCTGCCAAATGCGCATTAAGTCAATTAAAGAACCAGTTTGATAACAAAGAAGGATCATACCACAACATTACCGGCACCCTGACACTTATTGAATAAGTACCAAATAAGTAAATACATATCGTCACCTGAAATGCAAAAAGACGTAACAATATCGTAAATGATATTGAAAAAGTCGTGACTAATATTTTCATTATTTTTTTCATAAAATGATGTGGGAAGTTGTAACTCGTTGAAATCCATTATATAAATCAAAAAGTAAATTTTGAATTTTTTATTAGTTATGACTTTTTGCATTTTAACAATGATTTTTGTTACGTCTTTTTGAGTTTCAGGTGACGATATGTTTTTCTACAAATTTAAAGCAAACATATTTTTAATGACTTAACAAATTTTTCACCATTTTATGTACTCTGAATGCATGTAGACATTGAAATAACTGGGGTATCGACATTATAAATTGATTGGAAATATCTACCCGATATTATTTAGAGTGGTCCACGAAATAATAGGAATGCGATATTTTGACTCCTTTTATTTTGTGCACAACTGTTATGTACATGCACAACTGTTATATAATGCGTTATTTCAACTCATTTAAAAGTTAAATACGGCATTAATTGTAACTTTTTTGTTGTAAGTTTGTTGTGGAAAGAAAAACTTATTTAACTTTTTAAATTTAGAAAAATATAGTGATAACTTGACACACGTAATAAAATTGTTGTTTTGAATCATAACCAAATTACATATATTCAACTATAAGTACATATTTAAGTTTCACTAGAAAATTTCAGTAGCCGGTAAGAAAACTAATAAAATAAAAGCAAACTATTTAGCCTCAGTATTAACTTTTTTTATTAATTCTTCTTTGATAAAATAAATAATATATGTAAATAAAAATATGCATTAAATGCTGTTATACATATTAAATATATAAAACGAAGTTTTTATTAAATTACCATTTCATTTATTTCAAAATCAGTACAATAAAATTAAATTAGTTAATAATACGGTGATATTTTTTTTAATATTCGCAATGTTTTTCTTGCTATATATTTTTGTGAATTTTTTGTTTTGTTTAAAGAATGTCTCCTATTTTAACAAATGCTATACAAATCTAAGCTTCACACTGTATATGTACATAATTTAGAAGTATTCTGCCAAGTTGCATCCAAATCGCAAGATTTTTAATAAGCATTTCCAAAAAAAAAGTATGTATCCATCCCAATTTTATTATGATAATGTGCAAATTTGAAATGTCTGAAAATGCGCGTTGTTTTATACTAATTTTTTGCTGTCCTATGCATTTTTACCATATAAAAATGATTGAAAATGCTTTATATGGAAAAAATGCACAGGACAGCA